ACCAAGGGACAGATCCAGTTATAAGGCATTCTCCTCTGTTCCTGTGGTTGTGGAAAGACAGCATAGCTGCTCCAGAATCCTTTCCGACTCACTGGTACCCTGTTTCCCTGAAAATAAGACAGGGTCTTACATTAATTTTTGCTCCAAAAACACATTAGGGCTTATTTTCAGGGGATTTTTTTTCATGTACAATCTATGTTTATTCAAATACAGTCATGTCATCTTCTTCTGGTTGCTGCATGATGGTGGAGGACAGGCTTTCACTTCACTGGGGCTTATTTTTGGGGTAGGGCTTATATTATGAGCATCCTGAAAAATCATACTAGGATTTATTTTCAGGTTAGGTCTTATTTTCAGGGAAACAGGGTAGAGATTTTTCAACTACCTAAAAGAAGGATCTCAGCTGGCATTCTAAAAACAAGGAAATAAAATGTCTGAATAAATCATGCTCATTTTGCTTCTTCCTGAAACCTACTCCTCAATATGAATTTGCAGATGAAACATAAGACAGTATTTTTAAAATGTGGGAACCTCCCTTTGATCTGATTCTGCCTGGAAGCCATGGACCACTTACAAGACCTTAAAAAAACAATTTGTGTTGTTTTATTCTGCCTGAAACCTCTATGGGCTCTTCTTTACTTGAGTAGGAGCAACATGTTCCTGGCCCTTATATCAAGGCAACTTTCCAGCTCTCTCAGCTTAATATCCTTAATATTCCTACCTGAGGAAGCTTAAAAAGAACCTATAAATTGGCCTGTTTCATTCGCAGAGGTAATTTAAGAAATCTGTAACCACACTTGGCACAAACATGGCAAATTACTTTGGGACCTTATATTAAATTCTAGTTAAATGGCCAAATTAACGTTGACTGGGGCATCCGTATCTCGTGTGTTTATGTTTTATAGTATAAATAGCAGATGAGTTTGTTGGGATATCTGGAAACTGAGAGGGAAGGCATCACTCTTCTCTCCCCAGCCCCAGTTCCAACAGAAATCACTCCAGATGATTTTGGAGGGCAAGGCTAGGTGAGTGGAAGCTCCCGCTTATGTAAATTGCCCTCATTGAGATGTGAGTTGGTATCGTCTGCTAATGAAAAAAAGGGGGGAGAGGGGCACCCAGCATCAATTTTAAAAGTCTCAAATTAAGATTGCTACTAAAAGTAGCAAAATGACTTCTGGTTTGCTCCTAAGTGCTTGTAGCGCTATGGGGCGGTATATAAGTCCAATCAATCAATCAATCAATCAATCAATCAATCAATCAATCAATCAATCAATCAATCAATCAATCAATCAATAGTTGCCTGCCCCTATAACCAGCCTTCTGTAACCTGCCCTTCACTGGATGGCTCGTGGCCATTGCTGGCTAGGAATCATGGGAGTTGTAGTCTGACCCCTTGGAAAGCACCAGCTTAGGGAAGGCTGGCTTGTAGTCACTTAACTCAAGAGATACTCCTACAAATTTTGCTGCTTCCCCTCAAAGTGCAGGGAAAGAACTGCTGAAAGGAGTTAGAGAGTACTGTACATACTGAAGTATCCACCTCCAGATTGCCACATTTTTACCCCAGGAGGAAAACAGACAGTAATTAAAGATGTTGTTAAGCACGACCACCCAAACCAAGGCAGCAGTAGGTCTGATCGCAGTGGTGCTGTAGTGGAGCACATTGTAGTGGCACACATTTAGTTTCTGCCTGCCACAGAATACTGTACTTGAAAACACAGAGTGTTCGTCAGAAAAAGAGTGACGATGGTGTGTGGCAGCCTTCAAAGTGTTTTGCCAGGTTCGACATTTTTTGTTTTCACCTTTTCCAGAGTAATCTTTCAAATGTGAAACTGCAATAACAAGAACTATGAGATCAATCTGACTTTGCTCACACGGCCCAGAATATACTTTGAGGGGTTAAGTACCTCAGGTACTTCTGCTCTGGGGCTGTCACTACAGATGTTGATGTGTGAGCACCATCTTGACGTTTCATTGCTCGCCTGAATGAAGCTGCCTTCTGGTGGATTACTATGAATTCTCTGCTATTTGTTTGATACATAACAGTAGCAAACTGTTGTGAACCTCATTTTCCCACTTACTGAATTGCAGCTATCGTGACGATTACCTGTCTGGTACCCAGATAAGCTCAGAGATACCCAGATAAGTATGAGATATTGTTCTGAGTATGACTGGCCTTTTGAAGAAACAAGAAGACAGCCCTGGATCTGTACCTCATTCAGTGATGGAATAATGCAGCTTTCCTAGCAGGGAGAGAATTCTTACATACATACATACATACATACATACATACATACATACATACATACATACATACATACATACATACATACATACATACATACATATTGGCTGAATGAGACTTTGAACTGGGATGATCCCCATCTAGATCAAACCTGTAACCACTACTTGATACTGTCTCAGACCCCGATGGTGCGCAGGTTAAGGAGGGGTGCTCACACAAACACACATATGTGCACTTGAATCTGTGTCTGTGCATGGATACCTATCTATATGTCACCAACAATATTATGTAACATGACAAGTTATGCAATGAGCAGGAATCTATTCACAACGTCATCCTGAGGAAAAACTATGCCCTTGTGCCCTTGATGGTGCGCTGTCACATCTGCTATTCATGCAGGATTGTTTCTAATCCTGTGTCCATGTACCTAGCTGACTAATCCTTTTGTGCCATTTTGTAAGTATTTCTGCAGAAGTCCTTAGTCCACATAAAATCCATGTGGGCTTTCCCCTCCATGCAAGGATGATTTAGACCAGGATAGAATTAAGTGGGCTGTTGCATTTGTGTGATAAAATGCATCCATTCAAATAAAACACGGGGACATTTTTTAAAAAAATAAACATTTTAGATAAAATTGTGGACATTGCAAAACTGGATGCAGCAGAACGAAGGGTGAAACATTTTGAAGCAATGATACTTTGAAT